GTGAGGCACTCCTTGCTGCAAATACGATTTTGAATCGAATTCCACATAAGAAGACTAATCAATCTCCTTATGAAATCTGGAAAGGTAGGTTACCTACATATAAAACCTTGAAAGTGTGGGGTTGTCTTGCAAAAGTTCAAGTGCCTCTTCCGAAGAGACAAAAACTTGGACCAAAAACAGTGGATTGTATCTTTATTGGTCATGCCTATAATAGTTCGGCATATAGATTTTTGGTTCATAAATCTGAAATTGCAGACATTCATATAAACACTATACTTGAATCTGCAGAAGTTGAGTTCTTTGAGGAAATTTTTCCTTACAAAGATAGGTCATATGTTTTGAACAAAAGAGTACATGAGGTTACTACAAGAAATGATGACGATAATCATGCCTCAACTTCGAGAGTTCAAATCCAAGATTTGGAACCACGAAAGAGTAAAAGAGCAAAAATTGCAAAGGATTTTGGTCCTGATTTCCTCACTTTTATGACTGAAGAAGAGCCTCAAACTTATAAGGCTGCATTAGAATCGTCTGAAGCACCTTATTGGAAAGAAGCTATTCAAAGTGAAATAGAATCCATCATGCAAAATAATACATGGGAATTGGTTAATTTGCCTCCTGGAAATAAACCAATAGGACACAAATGGATTTTCAAGAGGAAATTGAGACCGGATGGTACCATAGACAAGTATAAGGCTCGTTTAGTTGCCAAAGGGTATCGTCAAAAAGAAGGACTTGACTATTTTGACACTTATTCACCAGTAGCTAGAATAACATCTATAAGGTTATTAATAGCTATAGCGTCTGTGTACAATCTTGAGATACATCAAATGGATGTCAAGACTGCATTTCTAAATGGTGAATTAGACGAAGAAATATATATGGATCAACCTGAAGGTTTCATTGTCAAGGGTCAAGAAAAGAAAGTTTGTAAGTTGATTAAATCATTATATGGACTCAAACAAGCGCCTAAGCAATGGCATGAAAAATTTGATCATAATATGATTACGAATGGATTTGTAATCAATGAAAGTGATAAATGCATTTATGTTAAGAAAACGAAAAATGCTTGTGTTATTGTATGTCTATATGTTGATGACATGCTTATAATGGGAACAAACAAAGATGTGATTAACTCCACAAAGAAAATGCTAAATTCCAGTTTTGACATGAAAGATATGGGATTAGCTGATGTGATTCTTGGAGTTCGAATTCTAAGGAATCCAGATGGATATGTCCTAACTCAATCACATTATGTGGAAAAGGTTCTAAGAAGGTTTGGACATTATGATTGTAAACCTGCAGTAACTCCTTTTGATCCCATTCATAAACTTACTAAAAACGAAGAAGATAGCGTATCTCAATTGGAGTATACCCAAGTTATAGGTTGCTTGATGTACATTATGAATTGTACAAGACCTGATCTTGCTTATTCAATAAGCCGACTAAGTAGGTATTCAAGTAATCCTGGAAGAGATCATTGGAATGCTTTAATAAGGGTATTAAGATATTTAAAGCATACACTAAACTATGGTTTGCATTACACTCAATATCCCCCAGTATTAGAAGGATATAGTGATGCAAATTGGATTTCAGGGAGCACAGACAGTAAATCCACAAGTGGATATGTATTTACACTTGGTGGAGCAGCTGTGTCATGGAAATCATCCAAGCAAACATGTATAGCACGTTCGACAATGGAATCAGAGTTTATAGCTTTAGATACAGCTGCTGATGAAGCTGAATGGCTTAAACATTTTCTGGAAGATATTCCATTCTGGCCCAAGCCTGTGACTGCAATATGTATACATTGTGACAGCATGGCTGCACAAGGTCGAGCCAAAAACGCTGAATATAATGGGAAGTCGAGACATATAAGGCGACGACATAAAACCATTAGACAATTACTCAAGAATGGAACTATTTCCATTGATTATATTAAATCTAAGGAGAATATTGCCGATCCTTTGACAAAAGGCCTATCCAAGGATCAAGTGGCATTTACATCGAGGGGAATGGGTTTAAAGCCAACTCAATGAGTTATAACTTGACGGAAACCTAACCTAGCTAATTGGAGATCCCATGGTCTAGGTTCAATAGGCAAACTAGTTGAGGAAAACTCAAAGTAAACAACACAATCTTTACTCATTCTTATGATGGAAAACAGTGTGTTGCCTGTTAGACGAAAAGGGTGAATAACTATTCTTAATAATGCTAATATCTTATGATTAAGATGAATAGAACAGGATATTCTTCATTAGCATTACCTATATGAGATTGATGTGGGGTCGCATCTTTGAGAATTGGTATGGCTACAATTCTCTAAAGGTCTCATGAAACCAGGATATGTTCAGGACCAAAATGAACACAACCGTATGAATTGACGTGTGTCAAGATGTGATATGTGTGATACTTATTGTTTCGATTTTACTACAAAGAATGATCAGTTCAAGATAGAAAATTCACTGCTTCATTAGGTAAAACCGGTAAGTACTCACTAGAGAAGGTTCAAGTCCAAAAGACACCTATCCCGATGCGTATCATATCTAAGTTCTCTGGAAGTACATTACTAATGTCACTAGTATCTTATTTTCAATTCAAATGTGGGGTATTGCTAAAGTTTGAATAGAAAATGTGGGGTAATGTTGGAACTGTGTTTTCTGTGGGACTTGGAGTCCCACATCGCCCAAACATGTTTCTCATTAAGTCTTTATAAGTGAGTTCACTCACTTATAGTTTGAAAAGAATTGGGCCAAAGCCATGGACCTTGGGCCTTAGAATTGGAGAGTTTGGGTGTATATATTAAATGTCAAAGATGGGCCTTGGGCCTTGGGGCTCTTGGGCTCGGATGGACGAAAAACACAAGTTACGTTTTTGATTTTTTGGATTCGGTTTTTGACAGTTATGATCAGTTTTTGTGAAAGGTTGCATTCAGTTTTCTTTTTACAAAAACTTGATAAGAATGAACGGTTGGAGAAGTTCAACTGATGCCATTATATATATGGCAATAAAACTCAGAAACCAGAATTTAAGTTTTCCAGATTCATTCCTTCATATTTCGCTGAGAACCACACAACCAATTCGCAAAGAATCCAAGTTCGAGTGCAAGAACTTGGATTAGATAGTTGTATCCTGCAAGATAGACGTCCAACGAACTGCTGCACAAGTGTAGGGACGAGTTTCTGTCTTAGGAGATTGCTCTGCAAGCCTCTATCATCAAAGAACAAGTCAGTGATTTGAGTTTCTATATATAATTACACTAAGTGTTTATGTTTTAATATATTGTGTTTGTTGTTGAGTTTTACCATTTGTAATAAAACTGTGCAAATTGTTGTATAATATATGCTTAACGTTTGATTGGTTTACAATGCAAATTTGTGTTAAAGTTGTTTAGCTCGATACACAGTACTTCATTTGACCAAGAACAAATAGATAGTACAAATCTTTTTGGAAGCTAATTAACCTTCAAAGTTGAACAATTTGTGTTAAGTTGTTTAGCTTTTAGTTTATCATGCATATTTTTGCTTTGAACTTTAATTATACTTCTGAAAATACAATGTAAATACCCAAAATTATTTAGTCATGTTGTACATAAACTTCCGGTCATTAAATTATCAATGCGAGCCAAGAGTCCAGTCTTATTGGTCATTTAGCGACTAGAGATTCATAGTGATCATCAGTCCATTCTTAAATTTGATATCAAGAGTTGAAATTAATTATAAACATCTTTTTAATGGACGAAATAGGTCTTTGACAATAACAACATACATGCATATTAAGTTAATTATAAAAAATAAAACAAAAAACTAATAAGTAATGGTATATGCATCGTGCATGTATCTCTTATAACTCAACACAAAGCTAGTGTTTTTATATGTATCATCATCTTCCTCGCTCAGATTCCCTGACGTTTTTATTACCAGAGCCCACAGTCAGTCATAATGTTCCTCGCGAGGAGAAAAATATCCAACGCTGCCTTAAGAATTTTTGTCAGCGAATCCTTGTGCGGAGCTCGCAAGGATTTTGTTCTCTCTCTCTCTCTCTCTCTCTCTCTCTCTCTCTCTCTCTCTCACACACACACACGCACACGTACTGTTTTTAATCCTCATTGGTTTTACAGATAGGAAAGAGACAGTAATAAAACCTAAAATAAGACCGAATCTTTTGGTTGTTAACTGTTATGCTATGTTTGTCAACACACTTAGCTATAAGCTAAAGAGGCAATTCTTTCTTGTAAAAGATAACAAAATTATAAGGAAAAAAAAAGAAAAATCCAAAGGAAGATTAAAGTGTTCCAAGTGTACATTTCATCTTTTAAAAAAATTAATTTTTAGTTTAAGAAAATTTAAATCTCTTAAGATGATGACGACTATTTTGTCATAGAATAGATGGAAACCCCAATTCACAATGACTGGGTACCATCATTACCTACTAATTAAGACAAGAAGATGCTAGCTAGGGAGGTTATATTTTTAGACTATATTTTGTAAATTACACTATGTGATAGTTGATAATTGAATTCTTTATTTAAATCTAATTACCATCAACTGTCACACTATTTGGTCTACAAAATTGGTTTAAGTAGGTAATCTCTTTAGCATTACTCATTAAGACAACAATGTTGATTGCAAAGCTTTTATATATACATGATAAATTTAAATACGAACCAGTAGAAGCAAAATGACGACAAACCAAAATTCGTTATTAAAATCTAACCCTGAAAAGAAAAACACATTCAAATTCCTAACTAGCTTTCAAACCAAAGATGTATCTTTCGTCCCTGGTTTTCATACTTGAATTTTGGATGGACAGTTATGAAATGTCATTGGTGTGATCTCATGATGTTTGAATAAATTCAATCATCTTATCCAACAACAAGAAACTAGCTTCCAATCCCATCCATGGTTTTATGATCTAATTAACCTTAAGATTCCGCAATGGAGGCAAGGGTTACACGTACAATGAAAATGTTAAACTAGAATTGGCAACAAAAAAAGCAGTATACTTAACCAGATGCGAGATTTAATTACTATAGCATGGAGGAAAATACAAGCACGTACATATATTAATTTCTATATAATTTTTAATTTTTGACAACAATCGCTTATCCTTTTTTTCTTCTTTCTGTTTGAATTCTACATGAAATGATGAGATCAGTAGTGGCTCCAAATATTGTTGGGCATACCGACATCAGATAGGTAGTTTTCTGAGCTACTTCCTTCTCCAAAGCTTGGTGATGAGCCATTCAAAGTAGGATAAGTAGTACTTTCCATCTTGGTAAGGTGACTCAAAACAGTTTTTAGCACAATTTTGTCACATGAAAAAGGATCAAGAAAATTGGTCATATTTGGCAACCCTCCAAATGTAGTTGTGTCATTGTTATTATTGTGCTTGGTGGGTATGTTTGGTTGAGAACTAGTGATGTCAGTGTGCGTGAAAAATGGGTTTTGGTTCTGGGAGAACATGGAGAAGCAGGGCACTTGCTCAGACTCTTGGGGCTGAGTCTGAGTTTGTGTCCGAGATTGAGTTTGGCCATCAAAACTGATGTAGGAGTCCATCAAGGCAGGCAGAGTTAAAGTGCTTGTGTCATCGTAACAGCTAATTCCCATGCTGGGTTTGGCGGCTATCTCTCGGTTTTTATGAAACACTCTGCACAAAGCCCAATCTTCCTGCATAGGAAATTATTTTGTTAGTATATGTGAAGCATAAAAAAAAAAAAAAAAAAAAAACCCGAAGTAGGAGCAACTTTTCTATCTGTGGCCGGATAATGTTATATATTCAACTCGAATTATAATACGAATAATTGTAAGTAGGACATATATATCACAATTGTCGCTCACCAGCCCTAATATAGAAAATAATACACCATACAACTTGTGTTTCGGTATCATAAAATTTCTTTAGAATAGATGACAAAGGCATGATTAATACTTGTCAATTAACAATCTGTAGCAGCCACAGTTACAATACTTTAGGCGAAGGGACAAATTAGTCCTTGGACTTTAAATTGCATGAAAGTTGAACATAGATGAAATTAGAATGCATTACAGCTGATGTGAATTAACTATATAAATTGACTTTCCTAAGATGTAAGAAGCCTACATATAATATATGAAGAAGGATCTGCTTAGGTCAGCTAATCTTGCATCTAATTTTCGAGTCGTGACAAGTGGAGAAATATGGGTTTTGGTTGTATATATGAAGAGGAAAAACAAATATTTTCAAAAAAGTCAAAGATCTTATTACAAATAATGGAAATTGTCTTGTAAGATCCCACTTGCTAGTTGCCACCCAATTACCTTTTTAAATTCTAGCAGAATGCTGTTTGGAAATATATATATATATATATATATATATATATGTAAAGACTACATTCTCTGATTATATTAGCTGACCTACTATTGGAGTTGATATGCATTTAATTCTTGTAATATTAGGGTTTTCGTAATATGATTGAAAATGACGCATATGAAGTATAAGAAAGTTGTTATTAGCACTAATTGTTTATAAAAACACAAGGTAAAAATTCAAGAAGTGTACGATGACTCCTAAAATGCCAATAACATCTCAGAGTATTTTGATTATAATGGTCAAAATTTGAGAAGGAAAATGAAATGAAGGATCGATGTAGTATACCTTGAGCGAAGAGATTTTAGGAGGACCTAGGGGACCTTCAACCCGAAACTCATGCATGACCCAATCGGATTTTCTGCCTTTGGGAGCTCGACCCTGGTAGAAAACCAAGGTTTTTCTCATCCCAACAAGGCTTCCTTTGCGAAGGATCGGTCTATCTTTTCCTGTGGCCTTCCAATACCCCGTTGCAGTTGCACGGTTTGTTCGAAGCCCTGTTGCATATTTACGATCACGCTGACTGTAGAAGTACCATTCTTTTCCTCCCACACAAGCACTTTCTGCAAAAATTATCGCTTAATGAGTCACCAACACTGTTATTTGAACCACATTTCTAAGAGAGATCGACGTAACGGATCACATGGGTGAGAACCCCCTTTATTAGATAAGTTATATATGATTGTAAATGTGATAGAACGCACAAGCGGTAAAACAACCTCAAAATCCTAAGCTCTGAGACAAACGACATCATGCAACAAAGAGACCATAACCCTAAACGCAGAACTCTGAGACAAACAACAACATGCCACATTTATTATTTTATTAATGGGTTAAAACTTAAAGAGTATAATAGTTGAGGGAACAATTATAAAACATAGCTAGAGGGTTTTCATAATGGGTAACGTTATGTAAACCAAATTTTGAAACCAAATGATGTAATACCCGTAGGAAATAAGCAACACATTAATTAACACTTAAATAATAATCCAATCATCAACAACTAAATAATATATTTTAAAAAATTTAGTTTAAAAACTTGGTATACCTAATATTACCAATTCAAACATGCACTGAATTTTTCCTTGCCATGCATCAATAAATTTTTAAATAATATATATGATATTTATTTATATCTGTATGTATTTTTGTATGTATACATTCTTGCCATATATTGGTATATTTTTCAGATCAAATCTGGTTTATTCCAGTTTCAATTAAATTAATATGCATTATATGCAGTGATGTCAACCGAAGACTTCTTGATAGCCAGCACATGGCGACAAAAAAGCAAATGGTGGTGACTCATCATCATCCATGGCCAAAATAGCTGAACTACATCCAACTATTATGCAGTTGATGAGGGGTCGGTATCCAAGTCTTAAGAGAAAATTATTGAACATAAAATGGCAATTGACCAAGTCACCGCAAGGTTTTTTCGTTTTCTCTTTTGTGTAATTCACAAAAGGTTTCTTTGCTTTAAAGTGTGAGTTAAGTGTAAGTTGATTGTGAATCATGCATGGGTAAGAATTATAATTCTTTTTTTAATGTATGTATTGGCGTCTTGTCCTTGAGAACTTAAAATCAAAACCACCTTTACATATATGAGCGACTATGTGCACAGCAGATTTTTACATATATATAAGCAATCGTTAATTGTTGATACATGTATATAAAGTGGAACGACCAATAATTATGAATTGAAAACTGTTACTAAGAGAACTTCTATCACATAACTGTTTTGCTAGAATTAAAGTTATAAAATAAATAAAAGGAGATATGACTAGAGGAAGATGGTGAGCCTTAAGCCTTCAAATGGCTTCGGTGAGGATGAGAAAACGAAAGTTTAATTCCTTCCAACCTGGTTGAATACACGTGTGTGGATACAACGGGATGAAAACTAGACTTTGGGGTTTGCTTTGTTATATATCACAATCACTATCATAACTTTTGGTTAGGAAATACCAAGAAAGTCCATTTCTTCAAAAGAAATGATTAAGAAATTTTTGTATTATACACAAAATAAGTAAAGATAGGACCATGGGAAATGAATTTGCCTATACATTTGGGAGATTCCGGCCGATCCAAACCAGCCTATTTGGGAGCTTCCGGACGATTCAAATCAGCCTATTCTGTAACTTGCGAGAGAGAGAGAGAGAGAGAGAGAGATAGAGATGTTAAAAATGTTTGTTGTATACGCACGTAGACGGCTGACAGATGTCGATAAGTGGGAATTCTAAAAGTGGGCCATACATCTATCAAGCATGGTTCAAATTAAGTTGTCTGCCCGCATTTGAATGACCAAAGTGTGCTAAAATTTGACAGATGAACCATACATCGTAAGTCTTCGTGAAAGATAGGACTCAGTTCTACAAAACCTCATTACTAAAGTAATTATTCAAATGTTTTTCATTAATCATCACTTTCTCTAATGTTTTCACTAATCATCATTTTATATAATTGTTCCTGAAAATAAAATCATTTCTACAATTGTAGAAATTTTTTTTTGTAGTGGTACAAAAGAGGATCAAATTGTTAAACTTGGTGAATTAGCTTCAATGATGAGGATGGATATTGAAATGAGTTAGGATTAGGCTATCTCAAAATTTGATTTCCTCCATTATACGTAACCAAAATAAAAAAAAAAAAAAAAAAAAAAAAAAATAGTCAAATTATTGCCATAATTAACTAAAGCATAGTTTATAATGATTCACTACAAATGTGATTTGCTACCTAACTAGATCAGGATACTACAAAAAAGGAGTGATACCTTAGCACACATAAGGTTTATTATCAGGACATCTTTTTAAATTTTTTTTTTTAATCTTAAATCTATTGTTCTATCCGAAGATTAAAAGCGGCTTACATTGCACGAACGATAACTAATTATATAAATCTAAAATTACTGTTTTCTTAATCCAGCAAACCCTAAAAGAAAATGGAAAGCTAAAAGTCAATAATTATATATAAGACTAAGGAAAAAAAGAAAAGAATAGGAAAATAATGCCTAGAATTCGTTAAGCAACTTGTAGTATTAATTGTATGCTAATTAATCACAATAATTGCGAGAACATGCTAATATATCAGCATCACTTTCCAATCCGTCACATATCATTGGTCCACTCCTATATCACTATATTGGTAGAGGCCATGACACAAAAATCAACCATTTTTTACTGACTAAACACAAGTCGCATTTGGTTTTATCAATTACAAAATTGTGGCAGACCAGCTGCAAGAACACAACACTTTGAACAACTCTAGCCAGTCCGGTTGCTATCACTACCTCACCCACAAATTTGGGCACAAACACAGCAAAGAAAATAGTATTTTTGAGTTGCCAAATAGCTATAAGTATAGATATTTTCTAGAAAAACATTTTCAAACAGAAAGAGAGCTGAAAACAGCACTCTCCTTTTCCTGGTTATTAACAATTATAAACTTATAATGAGGTTGTTAATATTTATGCATACGGGAATTACTGAACTTAAAAACTTAAATGGCAATTGAAATTTTGCATGATCGCTATATATATATAACTTCACGCAGAAGAAATGAATATAACATGTGATCATATATGTATATATGTATCTATGTGTATATGTGTATAAGTGACAATCAACCTTACCAGGAATATCCCAAGGCTCACACTTGTTGAGGTCAACTTCAATCATAAGGGTTGAATCAGACTGAGTCACCTTCTTCATCAAATAGTCACACACAAGCTCTTCATCTCTTGGATGGAACCTGAACCCTGGTGGCAAATTTGCCTCCACCATGCTTATGTTGCTCATTTTCTCCACAGAGAGAGAGAGAGAGAGAGAGGGAGAGAGGGAGAGAGAGAGAGAGAGAGAGAGAGAGAGAGAGAGGGAGGACAGAGCAGGGAGAATATTTTGTTGGGAGAGATCCCAATTCTCAGACGAAGAAGGCCAAGTGGGAGGTATATATATATATATATGAAAACTAATAAGAGGGGAAGGCAAAGCGGGGATTAAGTCAAATAGTAATTCCGTGTAAAAATTAAAATTATTAGGGTTTGAATAGCACAATCCATCCTTTAGGGGTAGAGGGGACTAATTTAATATTGCCTACGTACATATCAGTGCCAACCTGCTGATGTGCACATTTATAATGGGGGTGGGGTTGGGGGAAATTCAGTAGAGTAGTTTTTGGTCTTCTACCCTTTCCATCTTCTATGGAATTACTTTATTATTATTATTTTGTTTATTTTCAGAATTGTGATTGATATTTTAAAATTTTAATTGTGCACTTTAAACTCTCTCAATTAAGAAAAAAAAAAAGGGGTAAATTACACAAAACTACTTCAATTATTGGTCTTACGACACTATCATACCTCATCTTTTAAAATTGATAATGTCATACCTCATCTTTAGATTTTGGTACAATGTTACACCTTCCGTTAGCTTGGCCGTGAATTTCTCTGTTAAATGTTGACATGGCTTGATTCGGGGCCCACTTTCTATTAAAAATTTAATAAAATATTAAAAAATAATAATTTACCCTTAAAAAAATAAAATAAAAAATAAAAAACCAAAACACCCATCTTCCCCGACCCTTTTCCTTTCCCTCTAACCCAAATCCAAAACCCAGATCCCTTCTTCTTCCCTTTCCCTGTAACCCCCAACCCCTTCCCCACCCACGCCAACATCCCCCTCTCCCAAAATCGATAATCAAAACTACTACTGCCTTTACTCATCGGAGTCATCGGAGTTGATTGATCCAAGGCAGCGGCGATCGAGTGGTAATTCCTGGAGACGAAATGAGGGAAGGTGCGATGGTCAGAGGAGGCTCCGAATTTCCTGCGAGTCTGCTTTGATTTACCGTACAAGCTGACGAAATCGACGACGAAGAGTCTGTTCTGGAGCGGCCGGGTGGCGGAGGAGCGGCCATTGCTGGAGCAGTGAAAAAGCTGAGCAATCGGTGTGAGCCATTGCAGGAAACAGGCGCAAAGAGAGAAAGCGATGAGTGAGAGAGAGGAGTAGGGGGGATGAGTTTAAAGAGAGAAAGTGTGATGAGAAAGAAGGAGGAGTTTTTGGAGAGTGAGAAATGTGGTGGTGGAGTGGATGAGGAGGGGATGAGATAAATGGATGAGTGAGAAATGTGTGATGAGAAAGAAGGCAATAGTTTTGATTATTGACTGACGGGGGGAGATGTTGGCGTGGGTAGGGAAGGGGTTGGGGGTTGCAGGGAAATGGATCTATGTTTTGGATGCAGGGAAGGGGAAGATGGGCGTTTAGTTTTTTTTTTTTTTTTTTTTAATATTGTATTAAATTTTTAATAGAAAGTGGGCTCCGAATCAAGTCATGTCAGCATTTAACTGAGAAATTCACGGATAAGCTAACAGAGGTATAATATTGGACCAAATTCTAAAGATGAGGTATGACATTGTCAATTTTAAAAGATGCGGTAAAGGAGTATCGTAAGACCAATAGTTGAGGTAGTTTTTTGTTATTTACCCAAAAAAAAAAATCCTCATATAAGAAGTGCACAATTAGGCTTTAGGAGTACCAATACTTGTTTGCTTCATTTTTTATGATTTTTTATATATTCGATATATATTATCTTTACTAAAGGGAATATTTTTGCTCACAACCCTCAAGTGATGATGATGATCACCACCCTATTAGTCACAGTTAAATGAGTCTAAATTTTGAGATCTATGTAGTGGATAAACACAAATTTCAAAATTTAAACTCATTCAAGCGTGATAAATAGAATGGTGTGGTGAGCATTACCACTATTTGAGGGGGTGAGCTAAAATGCATCCCACTAAAGGGTGGGAGAATGTGCAAAACCTCACAATAGGATTCAATTTGGTATATTACATGACTAGCTTTAGTTAAGTTTTGGGGATGATCAGAGCTTGGAAAGCTCTAGCTTTCTTATTTGTGGAGTCCGGCCAATCCACGATCTGAAATCAGGTCGACTCGACCCATAACCCAATACCCGGCCCAACCCAGCTGCTAGGCCCAATACAATAACTCGGACCAAACCTTTGGGCCATGTAATTCATTAACCCATGCCCAACCCAACAACCCAAAGCCCATATTCGACCCGATCCGGACCTAATCCCAGTTCCCTGGGCCGGCACATTGGTGTGCATCATGGCAAGTGTATGGAGCCCACGAGCCTCTGCCGGAGGTATTATGCTTCGTCGCCGTCCACAGCAGCAGTAGCGAATTTTCTGACAACCCATCTCGGCGCGTGAAGGAACCCGAGGTCCCTCCTTAGGTTTTCCAACGTGTCGAATCCAAATCCGTTGTTCGTTTTCTCAAATTCAATCGTTTTAGTAGAGTTTTACTAAATGGTCTCAAATTGTGTTTAGGTGCGTCGATGGGAAGCGATCCATCCTGGCTAGTTTAAATGGTTCCTGGGCAATGGAAAATCTATGAGTGGACCCCTTCTTAACTTGCATGTTTTTATAAAATATTACGCTTGCATTCACGAAAAGCATGATTTCATGATTTAACGTTTTATGCATTATTTATGATATATCGAATTTACGTTTTACGAAAGGATATGAATTATTGGATTTTCGTATATGAAATTCTACGGATTTACGAATATGTTTCATTATGGATTAATGAGATGATGCTTTGAGCTTTTGAGCTCTGGTGATTTGATATGAGATTTTGAAATATGTTTTCGGTGCTTATCTAGTGGCTTATCATACAACACATACACACAACCGAGTATGTAGACGTCTATGGCCATAGAACATAGTTGATGAGATCTATGACATACTCCCAGCTTCACTAGCCCAGGGCTAGTGTCGGTGTGTTATGTGTTTGTGTGTGTGTGTGTGTGTGTGTATATATATGTATGTGTATGTATATTTCTTCTTTGGCGTAACCCAGAGTCATATAGTTTCACCTTCGGGTAACAGACCCCTATTTTCTTCACTAGCGTAACCTGGTGTCGTACAACTTCACCTTTGGTGATGGTTATGCCTTCGAGCCACTATGATACCCCTAGTTGAGTACATCATGAATGTGATTTATGGATGTTTATGGATTTGCCTTCGGGTGACGATATTGCCATTATTGAGCATCGATTTACACATACATGTTTTACGAATGTTTTTTTATAGCATGCTAGAGTTTTCAGAAAACCTACTATGTTGTACTATATATGTGTTTTCAAAACAAGGGGTTAGTATTTTCAGAAAGAAAATGGTTTTCTTATTATTAGTATTATTATTGTAAACTTTGGTCCACTCACCCTTTGTTTTGCGCCCCCTTCAGGAGTTAGAATCGGGGCGCACTATCCCGGCGTCAGGACACCTCTGCATAGGTATCTTCAAGTCTTCTCAATGTAGGACCCACTTTCTTTGTAATCTCAGTTATTTCATAATAATCCTTTCACATATTTTGATTAGTTGTATGCTCTGAATACGTTTCCACATTAGCATAATTCTTCTAATTACATATTTTGTCTGCATGCATGTTTAAAATGGCTTCATCACCTTCGGGCATCGGCCAGCATGTGCCTACCCTGATATTTGAGATATCAGGGTCGGGGCGTGTCAATCATTTTCTCTCTAAAATTGATATTTATGAGCTGTTTTAGATTAGTGAAAGATTTATTTGGAGATTGTTTGCTTTTGTTGATTGGCCCTTTTGGGAAATGAATAGATTTCTGTGCTTGTAGATTGCAGATTAGGGATTTCTTCCTCAAATCATCATTTTCTTCCCTAAATTTGAAATCCCATTCAAAACCCATATGGGTCAAAACCAATTTGCAGTCCAATTTTTTTTTTCAGATGTCGAAGAAAATCAATTATGAAAAACTAAAGACACCCTTTTTTTTGTTGCAATCTCTCTCTCTCCTCCCCTGATGCATGCCTGCTCCCTTTAAGTTAAAAAAAAAAAAATCCCAAATTTGTTATCTGTAACAATACATGCAATGATATCGGTTTTGTTGTGGACGTGCATCGTGTAATTAACGGGAATATATGGGGCCTAGATTCTAGAAATCCCTTGAAGATCTTTAGTTTACAAATCTTTGACCTAAACCTAGATTTTGGAAATCCCATTAAAAATCATCTATTTCTAGTGACATGCACATGATATGCTCACATATCTAAGCCAACCCAAAAATCCAGAGCTCACAAACTCTATCTTTGGAATCAGAAAAAATGATGTCATCACCTGTGACGTCACCACCATATACACTATATGCACTCCACATGCACATCATATGCACAGAATTGAAGATCGAGCAACAAGCTGTTTTTCGCATTAATAAGAAACTTTAACGGGGACCTATTGGTATAGTGGATACAAATAAAACATAATTGTTAAATATAAAAGGTTACTGTGGCAGTTTGAAATGTCTTGTTAAGTATATCAACCACCGCTTAACCATGCACGTGGAAAACATAATACTCGTTGTCATTATCTCATGGACACGCATGACCCTTAATGTCCTCTAAGTTTTTCCTCAATTTTGTTTTTCGTTGAGACCAACTAGGTTGTCGTCATACTCGCTAAATTTCGGGGCCCAACATATGTGAATTATAACTAGTGAACATTCCTACTTCTCATATTAAATTGTAGTCATGCACACCATATGTACACCACATGCACATTATGGAAAAAAATTCACAAATTTTTGCAGTTGAACACTTGAACAGAAATTGTTCCATTCCAGTTTTGTAGTACGTCAAAAAGTAAAGTTTATTCCACAATCCATAGGCCCCAACATGAAACACAAACCCTAATTTAACTTCTAAGTATTAATTCATCTTACAAGCAACCCATTTATTCCATAAATCATTGATGTAGAAACTTGGAACTAAAATAACAAAACCCACAAACAAATGAAAATTTCCAGAACACATTCTGAGCCCTCTATTCCCTATCCCTCTTTTCTTCGACTTCCCATCTCTACAAATCACAAAACCAATTGAAAAAACAAGTAATTAGATGCAGAAATGGAGACGATGACCGAGTTAGAGAGAGAGAGAGACAGACTAGATGGTTGTGGAAATATGGCTGCCAAAGCTTCACTTA